AAAAAGAAAAATAATTTGTACCGGTTGTTTATAAATATAAAAACTCCAGAAGCTGAACATAAATATAAAATATATAAGAATAAGCTTACCAATATAATAAGAATATGTAAAAAGGAGTATTATTATAAACATTTGAATAATGCTAAACATGATATTAGAGAAGTGTGGAAAATATTAAATAATGTAGTTTGACCAAATTTAGGTAATGATAAATTTCCGAAATATTTGGTTGAAAACAGTATTGTAAAACATGATTATGGTGATGTGGCTGATAGCTTTAATAAATTCTTTGTAAATATAGGGCCGTCATTGGCAGAAAACATATCTAGCTCTTCAACATCGCATACACCATTCTTAAAAAAAAAATCAAACCTAATCCTCATTCCACATTTCTTTCAGCTGTAGAGGAACAAGAAATAATACAAACTGTAAAAACAGGTAATGGTAAAACATCAACTGACAATCATGGCATTGACATGATGACGGTAAAAATGTAAATTTTGTTTGTTTGATTGAGGATAAAACATGTTATAAGAAAATGGCTATGACACTCAGTGCAGGGAAAATATTTTTTTTGTTTTATCTTTCCTGAAATTTGATTTGGGGGGATTATATAAGCTACCAGAGCTTCTTTCCCTTCCTATGGAACATGTTCTACACACACACACACACACACACACACACACACACACACACACACACACACACACACACACACACACACACACACACATATATATATATATATATATATATATATATATATATATATATATATATATACATACATATGTATGGGTTTCTTTTTGAATACTTTCATTTGTCTATTGATTTACATGTTCAATAAAGAAGGAAATGAGAATAACAGGGTCCACTTTTACTCCCTGGTTTGAAGTGGAGAATGTTATATGAGGAGAAAGAGAGTGGAGGTCAGGTGACTGGGTCGCTCTAGCAGTGTCGGGGCTAAAAACAATGAACAGTTTCAAGCTTCTACTGTTTTTGAGACAGCACCCTCTAAAGGATGAGTGTTCAATTGCAACAGTAGATTCAAAACATGCCTTTAAATCATATTACTTAAGTAAAATGTTATTAGAAGTTAGAAATGCCAGAATTTTACTAAAGCAATTGATTTAGCATTAAGAATATCACATCAAACTATTAAATAATCGACCATTCTTGTTCCATTCAACTGAAACATCTTTTTGTGTTACTTTACATTCACACAATACTTTTCCAAAGCACATTGTGAGATCAACCACTCTATAACACCTTGATGGACAAAAACACAGTTTGGGTAAGTGGCTCCTCAATCCAATGTAGGACGGAAATATCAGGAAATTCTTCATTTCTGCAGCCATCAGGATTTCAAATCTGAATTTGCTTTCTCCGGGTCTGCAGCGATACCCTTCTCTACAAATGCGCATCACCATATTGACGTCATTGAACCAGACACAGAGATAAGCAGAGGAAAACTTGCTGTAAGTTTAGCGAGCCTTGAAAAAAGAACAATTATGAATCAACTGGTAAGCTACTCTAGGGCAGAGGAGTGGTGACGTCATCTATGAGACGTGCCAATGTCTGATTTGTACTCATAATCACAAATTTTTACAAACTGATAAACGTACGTGACAAGCGTGGTTTAAACGCACATCATTACTTTTCTTTTAAACCATCCATTTTCATCCGCTTATCCGGAGTCGAGTCAGTTATATAATGTCTATGGAGCTATTTTTTTAACTGCTCATTTGTTCTGCAAAAATTTCCATCTGAATGGAAGAAATCCGTAGTTTTTCCAGTTGCAAAAGTTTCTGAAACAATTGACTGACCCTGCTGCAGTTACATCATTGAGGATGAAATGTTTACAATGCCCGGTGACTCTGTTCTCAACAGCTAAACTGCAAAAGAATTTGGACCTCGTGCAGTTGCATTTCAGCAAAATAGAAGCATGTACAGCAGCAAATTCAACATGCTTAAACTAATACTGACAGAGTTGATTTCAACACTTTTAACGTGTCTACATGGGTCCACACCAGTAACAGTCAATTGAATTTGTTTAGAGAGTTGGTACTTTAACTCTGATTTAGTGTTAAACCAACTCTTCTGGCAGTATTAGTGCAGTTACTCCATTAATTAATGAAATTTTAACTCTTATCAGCCAGGAGGCTAATACCCTCACAGAAAAACATTATTAACTCATGCCTCATTACACCTTGTGACTATAGACAGCCAATGAGAGAGGAACACAGTCTTGAGCATGAAGCATGAACCATGCAGCACTTTTCTAGCCTGGCAAGCCAGACTAAATAAATATATTATTTGGTCTGGCCACGCTCCATTGACGGCTCTCGGTTGTGGGGCGGGTTCTACCGTTGTCTTTCAAATGATCTCCGCATTCCACTGGACAATGAATGTGACATACTCTTGTTTCACTCTGTTGCATCATCCCACCCACCAGGCATATAGAGTGCCCTAATTGGCCCACAAAGTGGATAAAGCTCTGTGATTTGTTCACTAAGCAGATAGAGCACTATGATTGGCCCACTATTATGGACCAATCACAGCTCTTTATGTGTTTGAAACCTCTCTAGAGAGCTGTGATTGGCTAGCCAGAGTACTGGTAGGAGCTGCGGAGGTTCCAATGGAGCGTGCCTAGACCAAACTATGCAAAGCAAGAATTTGGTCTAGTTCACTAGGCTAGCACTTTTTTTTTTATTATGACAGTAGAACGGCACAGGGATCCTATTCCTTTGGGCAACCTCCTCACTTACGGTTCCAACATGACACAACAAGTAACATCACATTTGCAACAATGAACAAAGAACTAAGATCCCCCCCCCCCCCCGAAAAACAACAAACAAACATGCATTAACACCCTGAAATAGAAAAAAACCCTAAAAACATGACTACCCACAATGCACCTCACCCACTGCACCTCCTGCAGTGGACAGGGTCATTACAATATGTAGACGAAGAGCAAAGCCGTTGAAGTGTTCTGGTGGAGCTTCTTCTCTCTGCAGCCAGGTCGGTCATTACCACCATCCATCCATCCATCCATCCATCCATCCATCCATCCATCCATCCATCCATTTTCATCCACTTATCCGGAGTCGGGAAGTGGGGGGGGGGGGGGGGGGTAGTAGCCTAAGGCGAGAGACCCAGACTTCCCTCTCCCCAGCCACTTGGGCCAGCTCCTCTGGGGGAATCCCAAGGCGTTCCCTGGTCAGGTTAGAGACATAGTCCCTCCACCGTGTCCTGGGTCTACCTTTAGGTCTCCTCCCGGTTGGACGTGCTCTGAAAACCTCACCAGGGAGGCGTCCAGGAGGCATCCTGACCAGATGCCTGAGCCACCTCAACTGGCTCTTCTCGATGTGGAGGAGCAGCGGGTCTACTCCGAGCCCCTCCCGGATGACCGAGCTTCTCACCCTATCTCTAAGGGAGAGCCCAGCCACTCTTCGGATAAAACTCATTTCGGCCGCTTGTATCTGCGATCTCGTTCTTTCGGTCACTACCTAAAGCTCATGACCATAGGTGAGGGTAAGAACGTAGATCGACCGGTAAATTGAGAGCTTTGCCTTCTGTCTCAGCTCTCACTTCACGACGACAGACCGGTACAATGCCCGCATCGCTGCAGATACAGCACCAATCCGCCTATCGATCTCACACTCCAGTTTTCCCTCACTCGTGAACCACCATATATTTGTATAAATGTCTATGGTCCAGTCCAACTTTTAGAATAAAGGGGTGGACTCTCCGAATTAATTCTGGGAGTTTAGAGTTGGCTTTTCAGGAGTTATTTTGTCCAAATTGACACCTGCAGAGTTGATTAGGAAACACTCCTGTTTAACACTCGGTTTTAACTTTCATGTCAGTGTTACATAATCAACTATATAACTGTTTTTAGTGTTAAATGACCTCTACACTTGCTTAACACCCCAAAATGAACACCTTTAAATTTGCCATGTAGATGTTTTTGTCACTTTGCTGCATTTAATACATAAACACATGAAATTAATGGCAAAACTCATGTTGGGCTCTTATGTGCTTACTTTTCCTGATTCAGACTCTCCTCCTTTGTTCCAAGTTACAGAATGATTTTTACCTTCGATCGGAATCTGTTCAAATGCATCCATGAATTCTCATCATGTAGACGTCCGAGTGAGAGTGAAAGGAGTTTTCTCTGAGAGGAAGGTGTCTTTCCTGGGGTGTCCACAAAGTTCTGTCCTTTCTCCACTCTTGTATGATCAGGAGACGTTACACCAATAGACATTTAATCATATTTGCACTCATTGGTCATTTGGCTGAATGTGGTCCTGTTGTGCTTCTGTGGTGATTCGCTCAAACTGAATGTGGGAAAAAAAATGTATGAGTTCCTGAGCCTCAGTGACTGTTTAATGTGACGGGTAGCCAATCAAGAAGAGAAAGGATTTTTTTATATATATATAACACCTCCTTAGATAAAGATCATGAGGCACAATAGAGCAAAGCACACTCCTCTTCCGTCATGTTTGTTTACTTCAAAATCGCGTTAAACCTCATGAGATTTCTCATCTGACTGAAGAATGTCCATGAGTGAAATCTCGTGTGTAATTCTGGCTGAGTTGCTGCACATCACCTACTGTCGTGCTTCCCTTACATGGGCTCAGTCGTGGAACTGCGCTACGACTGAAATTCCAGCGCCACGGCTACAAAAATGTGTCTATCGGCGATCTCATAGTACCACACGTGTGGTCTTTCATCCTTCAAAAATCTGCCAACATTGTAAAAATCTTGCCGTGTGAACAGGGGGCAACTTGGGGTGGTGCGGAGATCCGCCCTCAAGATTTGCCCCCGATTTGTTGATACACAGTACACCTTCTCCTTCAAGTATGTCAATGCATTTTAGACATTAACAACCAGTTCTGCACATACCTCGCTGGCGTCTGCACCAGCTGCAGACTTTCAGAGCACAAAGCATATCTATAAGTCATTTTGACATTTCACACTGCTGTTTTATCAAGTAAAGTTAAAATAACATGGCAGGTGTTGGATTAAACGGGAGTGAGAGAAAATTGTCTCAGATGTTCCTGTTTCATAAAAGCAAAAAGACAAAAGAAAAGAATTTGAGCATCGTACTTTGAAATCAACCGTCTCTGAGTGAGTTCCTTTCAAGTGTGAACTTGCACCACTCTGCTGACTAATTTCGAGCCAGAAAAATCCCTCGGAGTTTCAAAACCTCAGCATTGCATAACTGTGTCTCCAGCCCATAAAAGCATGGTCTAATTGTAGTCATCATTATTTTTAATTTACTCTTTAACAGTGTTGTGCTTGGGATCACAACATATACCTGCTATTTGACCTGAGAGGAAAAATGAAAGCAAAACAGGCCCGGTTTTGTTTTAGAAACTTTATAGGCACATTAAGCAACTTTTTAATTTGTTAAAAATAAATTTCTTGTGCCAGGATGTGCTAAAATTACCCTTTACAGGGCGACTGAAAATTCTCTCAGCCCCCACTACCCTCTAACCTGAACTCTGACAAAGTCACGTATCTCGCGAGAAGCAGTAACGCTTTACAGCAATCCATGTTTACACCTCAGAACAAATTAGCTATACTTAGTTAGCATTTAATGTCATGTGTTTATCATGGTGGAGCCTCAGAAGAAATAAAGAAAACATTTATGACATGCTAACGCTGAGACCTGCTTCCAGCATGTAGTAGACCGCAAACATTGCTGATTGGTTTGACATAGTGATGAACCACTCCTGTAGAAACTAATGAAGGCAGAGGAGACATTTCAGCTGTCAGATTACGGTGTTAAAAAGACAAACGCGCAGCGAGGAGGAGATTTTCAGTTTCGGTTTTACGACAATAAATTACAACGGACACTAGGGGGTGCCAAAAATGCAAAGTGAAAATAAAGGAAACCTAAATGTGAAAATCAGGTTTTTTTTTTTACATCAATGACTTAGATTAGGAATATATTGACCAAATCTTTATTTGTATGAAGCCTTCCAAAACCATTAAGGGTAGCCAAAAGAGCTGAACACAGCAAACAGAAACTTGGATACTTCTACCTGTGTGGTAAACAAACACAAACTGGTGACACGGGTTTTACAGCAAATCCATTTGTTTCCTGTTCGTCAGAATGCTTCTTGAGATCATCACAGAGTGAAAAACCCTTTCCTGAACATGGCAAACATCCTCCTTTCTCTCTGTCAGAGTCCCATTGGTCCTGCTTGTAGTTTTGCTGTGTTGTTTTCAATGCACTCCAGCTCTCAGGTTTTACCTGCTCAAGGCTATGAATTACAAAGAAAAAAGGCGTGGATAAGACTTAAAGACAGGCAGCTGGGCCTGCGCCTGTCGAGACTCGACTGAGTCGCTTTGCTTCAACAATAAAAAAGGTAAGAGAAGCTAAAATGGGGAACTTTTGGGGAAAAATGTCTGTCAAAGATGAATATTTGACTGTAGAAGGCTCTAATTTTGTTAGACATAATTAATGAGCCAGACTTCATCCAAGCTTGATTTTAAATTCATTTCTGTACGGTGGAAAATATTGTAACTATTCAGCCTCATTCTATCAGACTCTAAAGTTAAGCATGGGTGTGTTTTTGGTGGTCTTTTATTTTAAAACACTAACTTCTGGGAGCTTTTCTAAAAATAAATACTTGTCTTCTGGACAGACTTATCCTCTTTTGTTTAATATTTACCTTCAGTCTGTGTTAAAGTAGCTAAAAACTGTGTAGAAGTCAGAGGAAGTTAATCCACAACAGAGTCACAGTTCAGTTATTCTGAGAGGTTCAGCTTCTTTGTGTTTTTAAGTTTTACGTATTTTTATTAAAACTGACTCTTTATGAACTGGAAGCAAAATTCAGCTCACATGAAGTGTAGGGATGTTGTAATTTTCTGGAAAAAAAGGTTGGGTTTATTCAAGAGAAAAGGTGTGTCCTTCCCAGAAGAAGACATTTTGTGTGTTCTACTAGGTTTGACAGAACATTGGCCAATATAAACAGATGCTCTGCTGACTCAGTCTTTCAGTGAAAGGATTAATCTTGTCATTAAGTCATACACTTTTGACAGGAGAGCTCTCATGTCTGGGCCTGGACGTTTTCTGCATCTGGCGGCTCGTGCCTGGTGGGGTCCCCCGAGCCCCTGAGCTCTGTTGGGTTTCCACCGGATTTGGGCGCCCTTAGGTTCGATCTCGGCCTGCCTTGGAGTGGGCGGATGCGAGCAGGGCAGCCAGCCATGGGGTATTTCTACTTGGGCTACAAAAACGCCTAGTGGGGGTTACTGTAGATTCTCACCAACCAGTCAGAATGGACATCAAAAAACTTCATTTTCCCTGCTAGACATTTGTCAATGTAAAATTCTACGTTAATTGGTTGTGTCGCACCGCCATGGCAAAGTAGAAGCCACTACATCTAAGGAATACATTCTTTGTTGATATATTTTTTTGAGATATTGTAACTCTAACTTGTTCTGTTTCGGATCTTTATTCCGGGTTCATGGGCTGCAACCAGGGGTGGACTGGTCTATCTGGCATTCTGGCACTGTACCGGTGGGCTGCTTAGCCAAGTGGGCTGCTTGCCCAGCTTGGGCTAACACTACTTCACAGTTGGTGATCTGCAGAACATTAGCTACATGGTAACCTGAAGCTAACAGAGTTTTTCCAGGCATTTTTAGCAAAAAAAAAAAAAAAAAAAAAAAGCAGTAGAGCAATGACATAGGAGTTGTTTTACTGCGTTAACATGTAGCTAATGTCCCGCTAATCTCCGCCCGTGGAGAATGAGCTGATCTGGAAGGCCAGGGCTCCCGGTTGCAGCGGTCTGACCCTGCTTGTAATTTAACAGTCCCAGTCCAAATTAGACTCATCTTATCTCACATTCGGCCTAAACACGAGTCCGCTGGCATTAACACCTCCCACCCCCACCGCTCTCCCAATGGGGAGGGCCGACGATTCGTAAAAATGCCAGGGCTGAATTTTGGTCCCAGTCCATCCCTGGATATGAAACAATATGATTTGAAAATAAACTCCAGATAATAAGTAAGAGACTGAGTACCGCCATGTGGTATCTGTACCACAGTTTAGCTTGAGGTTTCCACTCTTTCTGAGTTTGTATCTGACAACACCTTATTTGGGCAGGTATATTTCTTGGCCAGTAACTCGGGTAAAATTGCTGACTTGTAAAAGGTCTCAACATTTTGCACAGCTTTAATGAAAAATTGTTGTCAGGCAAAATCCTCTGTATGACAGAATCGGATGGAGACCACACCATGAAGTCACAGTCAATGTGAAGACCAGCATCACAAACTCTCAGGTTCCGATGTTCCTAAACAGCAGATGCTTCATATGCCATTCTGGCTGTCTTCTCATGTTCACATCCTCATCTGAAGAATATAAATGTTTTAGCAACTACAGCTTTTTAGTTCAGTTTAGCTCAGTTCATTTTCTTGTGCAATTTATGACATTTAGTTCACATTAAAACAATCTGCGTCCTTTTGCACATCATTCTTTTTTGACAACTTTATGATCTACTAAACTCTTAGAAATATATTTTGCATGGACAACTATCGATGCACATTATGTAATTTATCTTAAATAACCTAACTCTTATAGTAATCTGGTCTTATTCTTTTGCCCCCAGTGTACATATATTCTTCAGTGTTAAATAATTTATTTTAACTTCGTAAACCTGTGGACAGAATTCTCTGTAGTGTCTCACACTTTCTTGATGATATGACAGAACAAACATGATAGGAAGAGGTTTATCGACAGTTTATCGACAGTTATGCAGCACTACGATGTAACGCGCAAGTATTTGTCAGATCTTACAATTAAGGAGCATGTAAAATGATTACTTTTATAACATGACAAATATTAAGGTCTTCATTTTGCCATAATGAGGAACATTTCTCCTTCTTGAGCGTAGCATAGCGTCTCAGTCACCCACCCGGAAACGAAAAACTGGTAAGTGTAGACTTTTGTACGCCTTTAGATCAGCACCGGTGTACAAGGATACTCCGTTGATAACGTAGTGATACAGGTCGTGTGGACTGAAGTCAGGCAGGCTTGACGATTTAGTTAAGTCCGGGAAAAGGCCAGGAGGACAAAGGTACGGGTCAGTATGTAACCCCGCATTCTTCAGCTCCTCCAAATACCGCTCTTTGTGTAGACCTACAAGATGACTGACCTCAACCGACAACTGCACAACATCTTTATGACGAGAATAAACCATGGCTACAGTTATAAAACTACAACTAACCACCGTTTGTCTTCTGTTTACATTTTACCACTTCTTTTCTTAAGTTCGACGTTTGACTACTTCCGCCATCCGTCATGGCGATGACACGTGATCAGATGACGTAGGTGCAAAGGGTCAATAGTTCCTCCTGGTATTTAGGGGGCATCAGGCATAAAAGCCTGAACCACCTCAAATGGCTCCTCTTGATAATGAGAAAAGGTTGTTTGAGGCTGAGAAGCCTGCAATTTTTTAATATTCTTGTTTTTTCAGTTATCACCCAATCTCGTGACCATAAATAAGGGCTGACTTCAACCTGAGGAAGTTTGCAGCCGCAAACGAAACGTAGTGGGAAAACAGGTAAACAAAACTGCTCTGCGTTTTAAAAAAAGAACTACAGCATGGATTTAGAGATACGACACAGCAAGAACACACCTAAGAAAGGTTGGAATGTTGATCAACTGGTCGAGTTTTGCTTTGTGACTTGTTTCCCTCTTCAACAAACCAAACCATTCAGTGTCCTGACCCCTGCAGCCACCTATTGATCTCCCCTTTGGAATACGATTGTTTCCTCTGAGTGGCATACGTATGCTGAACGTGAACATTTTCTTCAACCACGTCTCCTATATTAGCCGCAGAAAGGAAATGGATGGGGAAACGATCAGGTCAGACAAAGCTAGTCAGTTCTACATCACAGGGAAAACTAATAGCCTTGCCTAATTTTGCTTGTGACTGTGGAAGGTGAGAACAGAGTGTGTCTTGGCAAGTGGAAGCTATTAGCAACTCCACAACATGCCAAAGCCTTTTCAGGCACGTGGTACTTGTGGAGATACATAAACTACCAATGTTCAATTTCTTTACTCACCAAAATGTGTTTTACAGTATTCTAAGTTTTGTTTGCAGTGGAAGAGATATGTTGCATATTATGATGAATATCAATGGCTCTTAGTCTTGTGGTTTTCCACCCCCACTCCTCCAGCAAACTTTAACTCTCTGAAACTCAGGCAAAGAGATTTTTCCAACAGATAACGACTCACACGACACCGCCCCTGATGTCAATGCAATTTTGCAGAGGCAAGTCAGCCAAGACAGCCCTACAACATCAGCGGGGGGTGGGTGGGTGGGGGGGGGGGTATTGAGAGCAACGTGTTCCTGTGGTGTCCGTGAGGGCGCATGGGGGTGTTCCTCCTACGTCCGTCACAGCGGTGAGTGGGTGGGGTTTGAGCGGGTGCGCTTTACTGACTTCCGGGGAGGTTTGTTACTGGAAGACAAGATGAACGGCTCTCTACAGGGACTCGGCTCTCTTCATTCACTTTGAAAACCCGTTCAAAAGATGTGATTCGTTCGTGAACGTCACATCACTAGAGGGAAGGTTCTTCGCTGGAATACATGTTGGTGGATCGAGAAGCTCCACAAACCACTTCTCCGTCCAACTACATTCTCATTTGACATTGGCAGCCCCCCATTCCCACCGTATTCTCCTCCCCTACAAAGTCCTCCTTTGACTCCACCATTGTGGGTGATGGTTCAAAGAAGAAGATCTCTTTTGCAATAACACAGAAATATTAGTGAGGCAGTTTTAAAACATGATCTCTAATCTAGTCTAAATGAAATGAACACAAAATTTAAAAAAAATCAAAAATGTTTAGTGAAATCAAAATACATTTTGTGTAAGTCTACTTACGTGTGTTTAGTAACAATGAAAAGTACCCGAGTCATTCCAGTCCCCATGACTAGCACTCAACTTGCTGCATTTCATCGGAAACCAAAACAAAACAGAAACCATTATGATGGCTGACAGCATTTATATTCATGAAAGAGGGATTATTCGTAACAGAACAGGTGCTAAATTGAGCTAATTAGAAGCCTGTCTTTCTGCAGTTAGGTGCTGTCTAACAACTTCTTGCCTATTGCAGATGAGACAGATTTGGTGGTCATTGGAGTGCAACTATTTCTCCACCTGCCCCACAATTTGTCCTTGAGACTTTACAATCATATAAAAAGCTGTAGAACTTGATTGTTTGGTTCGACCCAGTGCTTTTATGTCTCATCTGAAAGAGGTAATAAGGATAGCTTTTTTTTTCTTCTGAGGAACAAAACTGAAGAATTTTATCATTTCAAAATGCAGATCCATGCATTTGTGACAACACTTATTGACTACTGCAATGCTTTGCAGTCAGTGCAAAACGCAGCTGCTCGTATTTTGACAAGAGCTGTTCGATACGAGCATGTTACACCAATATTATCCTTCACTGGCCACCTTGTCAGGTTCGAGCAGATTATAAGGTCCCATTGCTCACTTACAAGGCTTTAAATGGGTTGGCCGCTTCATACATTGCCACTGAGCATTAGGCAGGCACCATCCCTTCAAGTCTTTAAGACGCGTTTAAAGACTCATTTTTATCTGATTGCGTTTCAGCGCTAGGGTCACTTGAAATGCCCTAACTTTATGGTTTTAACTATTCTTCTTTTTAAACCGGATGCTTGATTTTATTTTGTCCGACATTTGTTTTTTTATCGATTGGTCTTATTCCAATATCTCTTATCTGTAATGCTGTTTGCTTGCTATTTTATGATTTTATGTTTTTATCCTGCTTTTATGCCCATGTACTGGGAATGTTTTTCTTTTAATGATGTTGTTCAGCACCTTGGGCTTCGGATAATGTTGTAGAAGGTGCTATACAAATAAAATTTGATTGACTGATTGATTGATACATCTCCGATCTTCTGCACTCGCTTGTCCCATCATGACTCATCAGCTCTAAGATATCTGGGCGCTTATCAGTTCCAACATCCAAATAAAAAAACACTGGGGTGCGTTCTTTTTCTTTTCGTGCACCGTCATTATGGAACACTCTACCTAAAGAAATTAGGCAGACCTGTTCTGTGGAGGTTTTAAGGCTAAGCTAAAGACTTATGCTACGTATTTTAAATTAGAGTCTTAGTTTTCTTGTAGTTCTTTTATGTTTTCATTTATTCTTCACTGCTTTTATCCTTTTGGTGCTCAGCACTTTGTAAGCAATTTATGATAAAAGTTTTTATTTTTATATTCTTATGAATATAATTAAACACTTTGTTCAGTTAGACCGTACTGACTCCATGTCTACTCTCCAGACCTATCGGAATGGCATACTCTACTTCCACGCTCGCACAAGGTTGCTTTGGTAAGGTGTACAAAGAGAAATACGACGACACCTGGGCAGCAGTAAAAAAAGTTCCCCAACATCTCATAGAAAGGAGGGACTTGGAGAGAGAATGCCTTGTGTACAAGTAAGTACAAGAGTTCAGAAACTCGGAGATAACTAAAACTTTGCCTCTTTAAATTGGAAACATGGTTTTGATTTGCACAGAAGCCAGTTTGCTTATTTCATCTTGAAAGAAAATGATTTATCAGAATTTTCTGGTGGTTCTGATCCCTAAAACAGATTTCCATTGGCTTCTTTTTTAGTCAATTTTTATCCTGTAGCTGACCTTTTTTATAAGTTTAGCATTTAACATGAACTACGTCATAATTATTCACAGAAAATCTCATTTGATAAAATAATTTTTAACTAATTTTAGGGGGGGGGGGTCTTTTAATTTGATTTGTCTGAATGTCCTTATCTCTGATTGGTCTGCAGTAAGGTTGTACATCCCAACATTGTGAAACTTCTGGGCAACATCAGTCTCAAAGATGGGAAGTGGATTATTCCATTAGAGTTTATCTTTGGGGAGGATTTAGAAACGACAGTCTTCAAGACGGCAAAGTCTAAGATACAGGTATGATGTATACAACCTCACAAGTTTCATATTTCTGCTTAAATAGTATAATTGTTGTTTTTATGGACAACAAGGCATTGTGTTTTAAGACAAACATAAAATTATATAATTATGAGTAATAAAATAAAGGGTTACTTGGAAAAAAAAGGACAACCATTTACTTAAAGATTATATTTCAGATCATAATGAATTCATATTTCAGTTTGTGAGCTCATGCATGCATTTACTATTTAAGACCTTTTTTACTCCAAAGTGCTTCATGCTGTCACCCGTTGACACACTGATGGTGATGAGTTAGTCAGGCAGCTGCCCTGGGGCAAACTGACAGAGGCGAGGCTGTGAAACGTTGGCACCACCAATCCTGCCTATCTCAAGTTGTCAGACAGGTTCTAGGATTTCTTAATCCCACAGGTCTGGCATCAAGTCTGGATGTGGCTAGTAGAACTGAATTTCCATCCATCCAGAGGCCCAGACTTCCCTCTCTCCAGCCACTTGGGTCAACTCCTGCGGGGGAATGCCGAGGCGAGAAACATGGGGTGTTTCTCAATGTCAAGGTGCCTGGCCTAGCAGGGGATCTCTTGCTAGGCCAGGCGCCTTGCTCATGAGGGCACTGGCCTTCCTTGGTCAAAGAAAACGTTTAAATGTAACAGTCTTACCCCATGTGACCGCAGCTCCCGCGATGGTCAGGTCACGTCAAGTAAAGTTATATTTTATAGCCCAATAGCTACAGTTAGTTGACTTATATTTAAGCTGGAAATTTGCCCTTCAAGTAGCTGATCCACCATCCTTTTGAAAGTACTTTGCTGGATTCTGGGAATTTTTTGACCAAGGCCAGGTTACAAGACACCTCCAGTGTATCTTTGGTCAGCTAGCTAAATGACTAACAAACAGAGAACAGATGCCTCAGTAGCACTTCGGAACACGCCTTGGCGGTTTCTGATGATGTACCTCTTAGACAACCGGGGCGGGACCAAGGCATCGAGGCGAGTTTCCTTGACATTGAAAAACAGCCCTTGTCCCACCAGCATGTCCTGGGTCTTCCTTTGGGTCTGTTACCGGTTGGACGTGGCCAGAAAACCTCACCAGGGAGACACCCAGGAGAAATCTTGAACATTTAAAATGGACAAAAAGACAAAACATAATAAATCTATATGGAAGCAATTTTTAACAGCACTGCAAGACTTGATACTAAGAAAGAAACTCAACATGGCACCAAAGTCCAGTTTCTCTGCATCTAAACTCAACGTTTTGTTATTGTTTATTATTTTGCTACAGCTGACTCCTGCAAATAAAGCCACGATCATCAGCGGCATGTGTGAAGGACTGCTTCATCTTCATTCCAAAGATGTTGTTCATCAAGATCTCAAGCCTGAAAACATCATGGTGAGGGGGGACTTCATTTAACACACACACACACACACACACACACACACACACACACACACACACACACACACACACACACACACACACACACACACACACACACACACATACACACACACATACCAACACACACACACACACACACACACACACATACCAACACACACACACACACACACACACACACACACACACACACACACACACACACACACACACACACACACACACACACACACACACACACACCTATTATGTAGCTGTTTTTAACAGTAGAGTCAGGAAAAAGAGGAACGTTACAGATATATTTTGACGTGTCCTGATTTGGCTGTTGTAGCAAACACAATATCTTGCTTTGGTTTCTTATCATTCCAGAGCAGTTGGATCCTAGGAAAGTTAAACGGTATGAATGGCACCTTCTAGAGTCCTGGAACCCCCCAAGGCACTTTACAAGACAATCAGTCATTAACTCATTCACACACACACATTCACACCCTGGTGGTGATGAGCTTCATTGTACCACAGCTGCCCTTGGGCACACTGACCGAGGCGAGTCTGCTGTACTCAGGCGCCACCGGTCCCTCAGAGTGCCACCAGCAGGCAAGGCGGGTTAAGTGTCTTGCCCAAGGACACAGCGACAGACTGAGCGGGGCTCAAACCTGCAACCTTCTGATAAAGGAGCAAGCCCTTAACTCCTGTGCTTCTCTCTATAATTAATGCTTCTCTGGTCTCTGGTCAGGTCCCTGCTTACTTAAAAAATGCTGTAATCCACCCGCTTCTTAAAAAACCGAGTCTCGACCCCTCTCTCCATAGCAGCTTCAGACCCATCTCTAAACTTCTGTTCATCTCTAAGATCTTGGAAAAGGTTGTGGCTAAACAGCTCACAGCTGCTCTTAAAAAACAGAACATCTATGATAGTTTCCAGTCAGGTTTTCGTAGAGCTCATTCTACTGAAACAGCTCTTCTTAGGGTCTCTAATGACCTTCTGACTCACAGTGATGCAGGAGACTGTTCTGTTGTGGTCCTGCTGGACCTGACTGCAGCCTTTGACACTGTTGACCATCACCTGCTACTGGAGAGGCTGAGAGACTGGGTAGGCCTATCAGGAACTGCTCTGGAATGGTTCTCCTCTTATCTCTCTGAGCGCTCCTTTTCTGTGGCCGTCTCCAAGTTTAGGTCCTCCACCACCTCTCTTACCCATGGTGTCCCACAAGGTTCTGTGCTGGGGCCTCTGCTCTTCCTCCTCTATCTGTTTCCTCTTCAGCACATCCTGAGCTCCTTCAAATGAATCTCCTACCATCTTCATGCAGATGACATCCAACTGTACATCTCCTTTAAGCCCCATGAGATGTCTAAGCTGCAGCTGTTACACACCTGCTTAGACTCTATCAAAACCTGGATGGCTGGGAGCTTTCTTCAGCTGAATGAAGATAAGACAGATCCTCATCTGTGCCCCAGACAAGCTGGTTCCCAAAGTCAGAGACTCTCTTGGTCAGCTTGCTTTCCACACCAAACCTTCTGTCAGGAATCTTGGCGTGACCTTTGACCCAGCTCTCACCCTGGATTCTCATGTCAGTTCTCTTGTTCGCTCTTCCTTCTTCCATCTCAGGAACATTGCTAAGCTGAGTCCCATTCTGTCCCGCTCTGAACTTGAGACAGTTATCCACACCTTCATCTCCTCACGCTTAGACTACTGTAACTCTCTTTTCACGTGTCTGAGCAGAACCTCCCTGAACCATCTACAGGTGGTTCAGAGCGCCTGTGCTCGGCTTCTGACCAAATCCTCCAAACACACCCACATCACCCCGCTTCTCCTCCAGCTTCACTGGCTGCCAGCCAACTTCAGGGTTCATTTCAAGATCCTGGTTCTGGTCTATAGGGCCTTACATGGACAAGCACCATCTTACATTGGTGACCTTCTTAGTCCCTACACCCCTAGCAGGTCCCTGAGGTCCAGTGATCAAAGCCTACTGGTTGTGCAGCACCAGGCTAAAGACCAAAGGTGACAGATCATTTGCTGCTGTGGCCCCCAGACTCTGGAACTCTCTCCCCCTGAGCCTGAGATCAGTGGACTCAGTGGTCTCCTTTAAAAAGCAGCTGAAGACTCACTTGTTCAAGCTGGCTTTTGTATGACCTTCTTCACCACTCTCTTTATTCTGCTCTCCCCACCTATTCCACCTTCCTCAGTATCCACTGATTTCCCTCTTTCCTATTCACTCTCTCTCTCATTCTTAACATTTTTTCTTTTAAATCGCAATTGCTTATTTTTGCTCATTTTAAATATATTTTTAAACATTTTCTAAATGCTTTTTTATATTTTTTAATTTTTTTATTTTTTGTTTTTGTGAAGCGCCTCGTGATTTTTTTCTTGAGAGGCGCTATAGAAATGATACCTTTTTCTTCTTTCTTCTTCTTCTTCTTCTTCTTCTTCTTCTTCTTCTTCTTCTTCTTCTTCTTCTTCCGTCGCCCACAGGTAGAAAGGTGTGAGAAACTCCTGTGCAATTTATTCAATTTAATTTATTAAATATTATCAATACTGAATAAGTAATATCAAGACATCACATTTATAATTTCAGGCCATCATGAAATGAATGAACATTAATCTTTACTGTTGAAAAAGTGTTCACTGCAAATCCTAAAAGGCTCTGAGGGATGCCAGTCCTTTTGATTGATAGCTGCTGCCCGTTCCCGTAGTCTGTCTCCAAAGTTATTCGATGAAAAGACAAGTTTGGTTTGCAGCCTTGTCCGTTAATGCAGCCAACCGTGCAGCAAACCTTTATAGTTTTATGATGAAATCAGCTAAGTAAAAGTGATGTAAGACTACAAACTAGCTTTTTTTGGACTAGTTTAGCGTTGTTGAAATGGCTGTAATTCGTTCCTTTGAAATCCGTCATGGCGAAAGTGTTCCCATAAGCAGTGTAACATCACATGCAAAGGGTCAATAGCAGCCTGAGCAGAGGAAGAGTGCATGGCTAGCTCCATCTTGTTTTCTTAAAGCTGTTGAGTCCTGAAATGGCTCATTCTGGAAGGTACTGGAAATGTCAAGAATAAAACAGCTGATATTGCTTTATGTGAGAGGGATTATCTGCAAAGAACTCCATAAACACATTTTCTGTACACCATAGAACTGTTATCCATAATATGTCTCCTAGCAAGTAAAATGGACACATTTTTCAAAAGTGTTTTGTGTTTATTATTGACTGACACATCTCTGCTCCTCAGGTGGAACACAACACTAACAGAGCTGTCATCATTGACTTGGGACTCGCCAAGTTTTACAGACAAGGATTAAACTCTGCAATTGACATGGGAAACGAGGCCTACTCGGCTCCTGAGGTTCTACAGAGGAAATCCCAGCGGAGTCAGCGCTCCGATGTTTGGGCCATGGGGAAGATCATTGCTGAGGTCTGTGCACGCATCAGACTGTACACGCCAAGCGTCTGTCCTGCCAAGATCGTGGCGACACTGAAGGATAATCCCTACTGCAGTGTGGTGTGTAGGATGGTGGAGCCAGACCCTACTAAGAGAGCCACTATGTATGGGGTCATGAATGACATTCACAGAGCAGGAACCATCTTAAATGCATCCAGTCCAAAAGAACCCACTAAGGCTCCTGTAAATAACATCACTGCCAAAAACCCATCTCCTTCACCAGTTCACAGAGATGTCACCCCATTCAACAGGGACATTCTACCAGTCAATAATGATCCACCACGGTTTACTGGAAGAAGATCTCCATCTCCTTCACCAGTTCACAGAGATGTCACCCCATTCAACAGGAATAATCTACCAGTAAATAATGATCCACCACTGTTTATTGGAAGAAGATCTCCCTCTCCTTCACCAGTTCACAGAGATGTCACCCCATTCAACAGGAATAATCTACCAGTAAATAATGATCCACCACTGTTTATTGGAAGAAGATCTCCCTCTCCTTCACCAGTTCACAGAGATGTCACCCCATTCAACAGGAATATTCTACCAGTCAATAATGATCCACCACGGTTTACTGGAAGAAGATCTCCATCTCCTTCACCAGTTCACAGAGATGTCACCCCATTCAACAGGAATATTCTACCAGTAAATAATGATCCACCACGGTTTACTGGAAGAAGATCTCCATCTCCTTCAAGATGGGAGCCAGCACCCAAACCAGAACCCAAACCAGAGGCCAAACCGTACCAATTTCAGACAAGACTGACCAACCTTCCCTCATCGATGCTGGCAGAGAACAAAAACCAAGCTCTCACCCCAGCACGTAAAACCAACATCACACAGGATGTCATGAAGATGAAGCTGTACGAAGAAGCTGCTAAAGATTTTCCCTTTGGCCTCCCGCCCACCGGGAAGGTGGTGGTGCAACACTTTCAGGAGAAAGATGGAGAGGTTGACCATTGGGAACAGAAAACAGTTGTGACCCGCGATGGAAAGATTGTCACATATGATGACATTACTCTTCACAATAAATAGGACGTCTCAGGATATCTCCTGGAAAGAACTCCCAAACTGATTCATTGGTTGGATACAACCAGAAGAATTTCAGGATTTTATTAGATTTTTTCAACACGTTAAACTTTTATTTGAGACATCACAAGAGAAGAAGAACATTTTGTTAGCCTTTTTTTAATTTAGATTTAAATTTAGATTGTTTTACATTTTCAGACATTACATGCCTCTATGCTTAATCCTTTCCTTGTGAATAAAGTTTCTCTAAAACCAAAAACTGTAAGTGTGTGTGTGTGTGTGTGTGTGTGTGCGCGTGTGTGTATGTGTGCGTGTGTGTGGTTTTTATGCAGTGCCTGTTTACGAACACATTTGACAATTGCGGAATTGCATTTTGAAATGCTTTATTTTGTTAAATTTACCGGCCTGCCTTTTATGTTTAGGTTTGACATCCTGCCAGAATTGACGTGGTTCACCTGCGGCTCGCGAAAAAAATAGGGCAGATGCCGAAACAATCGCTGCACGGCACGGGCTGGAGCACCGGCGCGTGGCGCTTCGGCAGCCCATGTGGTCTATAGGATAGGATAACAAGGGAGCAGAATGAAGGCGGTCCCCTTTTCGCGGTGCTTCGGCGGCCGGTGTGTCCCCGGCGTTATACTGAGCCAGGATCCTCTGAAGGTTTCTTCCTGTTAAAAGGGAGTTTTCCTCTACTGTCGCTAAATGCTTGCTTAGTATGAGGATTGCTGTAAAGTCACTAACACTAGTCAGTGACTTGATGCAATTTGCTGGGTTCCTTATATAGGAAACTTTTTTCTGATTGGTTTAATGAACTGACCTGTATTGGAATACTTTATCATGTGAAGTGCCTTGAGACGACTCTTGTCGTGATTTGGCGCTATATAAATAAACTTGAATTGAATTGAATAAGTGTCCTTATTCCGAAGAGATGTTGACAGTTCAGCTCATCTAAAGCAAAATGAGCCAAAAGAGTCAGAAAATGTTTTAAATGTCGTCCAAAAGGAAGCAAAAGCAGCCATGATAACATGATGGTGTCAGCAACTCCTTGTTGCAAATGAAACGACTTCCTGAAATTTGGGCATTCTATCATAAATGCCATGAAAAAATATAAAAGTGTGTCTTTTTATGGTTTTGACCTTAGGTAAAATCAGTATTTTAGAGTTTAATCTTAATTTAACAAAACTGTAATCATGGATGCAAATATTTCCATCAGTGGGTGGTTTGAATGTCGTGGCCTGCCCCCTACTGGGACTTGTATAAATTCTATTTTTTGAAGTTGCTAAGATTTAGCTGATTTATGTTTATGTATTTAGCAGACGCTTTTGTCCAAAGCGACTTACAAGTGAAACCAACACAAAATGCTTACATCTTTATTGATTTTATTGCACTATTGGTAACACACCCGAAGTTCGTGTGATTTAAACATTATATTAAAATATACATAATAAAATAATGTTGTTTTGAATCTTCTAAAAGAATGAAATCTAAAATAAATCCCTGCCAATCTTTCAGGTTTGTCACAGTATTTCTTTCATTGAACATGGTCTTCTCCTATAGTTTTTTTTCATCAATCACAGCTGCTCCATGATGCAACACTTCATTCACCTGTCTATCATATGTTATTTCCCACATCAGGAATCTGAAATGCCAGCGTAGTGTGGTGCAGTTACCAGTAAGTGGTGCTGTTGTACTACTTTTGGAATAGAAATGTGTCAGGAAACCATACAAATGAAATAAATCAATAAATAAAATGAGTTTGTGGTTTTAATAAAACATATTTTGGTGGAATAATTGATTGTACTTCTTAAAGTGATTCGCAGGTCACGTGTGTGCTTTATGTAGAGGTCAGAGGTGACCTTTAATCTGAAAAACCTCAGGACCCCTCTGCCCATTGTGTCTCATTCTCTGATTTCAGTTATTACATTTAAAAACATTACCAGGGAACCATGTGTGTTATTCAGTGGTGTTCCCAAGGCGGGACCAGGGGTGGCCATAAAAAAATTGCTGGCCACTCTACTGTTCACCCCCCCCCCCCCCCCCCTCCCCGAAGACTACTGTTCTTGAATAAATCATATTAATATTCACACAAACCATGAATTCATCTTATTTAATCAAGACATGAACGTAAAACAGAAAATATAAAATTACTGTGTAAATTAATGGTTAGAGTAAAACAATGTAAATATGTAAGTGCTGCTCACCATTTTCAAAACCAAAGTTTAAATCTTTGTAGTTTTATGGATGTTTGTGGATAGCAAATTAAACATTAAATTATAATGTGATATATTTATGTCTCTTCCTTGGCACACACCAGAGTTCAGAATAGGGCAAAGTTTATATTTCTCACTGTGTGTATCGTAGTCCACCAGACTGAGCAGCAGAGCTGTCACTACTTACAAATGCATGAAGATAGTTCTATCGTGCATCACTTTCTAACACTTTCTTCCTCTGTTTTGTGTTTTTAAACTTCACTTTTCTGTGCTGTGAGCTTGAAAACAGGAGCTTTTGCTTCTTTTAAAGCAAAACCACAATCAGCCATCGAGTTGCATCATCTTCAAAAGCAGCGTTCAATAAGGTAGCGTCGATCGCTCACTCAGCTGTGTAACCATTGCAGCGTCCGCTGCGTGATACGTCTGATGTGTAACAAGAGAGTGAATCATCGGGCTTGGTGTGATAGGAAGAGTACACACAGACACACACCTTTATGCTCTGGTTCGTGCATTTTTCAAATTGTCTCCCAGGCGAGCAAACACACACAATGCACTAACTCTATTTGAACACATGCACATAGTCACATCGCATTATTAACATGTTCTTGCAGCAGCCAGATGCACACTTTGTTAAATGTAGGATGCACACATGCAAACAAATCCCACCACAAACAGAATGGTATATGACAGACGGCTCATGTTTTCAAGTCTTAATAGCTCTCTCTGGAAGAGTCTGACATTAAAGTTTCAAAGGTTTTTTCTTTCGAAGTCATGTTAGCAAACATTTAAGAGCTGCAGCCTGCAGCTCTTCCACGATTCTGCACAGTTTAGTGGTGGCGAGGACAGCATGTGACAGGAAAGAATGGAGCAAATGGAATAAAAGAAAGGAAATTTTATCAGCTAATGCTCCTCTGAGTCACAAAAACAGGAAAGCATAAAGCAGAGCAATGACTGCATGCAAGTGTCCTTTGAGGTAAGCCTCAAAATATGACACAGGCATTTGAAATAAGTAAAACTGTCATCTGTATATTGTATAATGTGTAAACGTCAGTTGCATGTTTGTAAATCTTCCAAATTTGGGTGATATTGTTCCACCTCCACCAGACGTCCCCGTGTTTTACCCCATGTTGTTACAAGCTGGACTGTGGTGACAACAGCGTTGTTCATTCTGCACCTGGGGTATGAACGCCTTGTTCCAGTAACCCACTTTTAATCTGCATGATCTGGTTCCCCAACATCTGATGCCAAACTCAGTAATCTGGCTAACGTGGGGGTGAGAGCAGAGTCTCTGAAGCGGCAGCTCCAGTAGGCCAGCTCAGTGCACCGTTTGTGCACATTAGTGCAAATCAGAGAGCTTTAGTGACTCTCGGAACCAAAAAATCAGTAAACAAATATTCAGGAGATTGAGATTCTTATGAAAAAAAATTACTTTTTAAAAAGTAGAAAAGGACAAGTTAAGATTTGATCTATAAATTCAAGTGAATTTTTAACTTTTACACACAGACACTCGCATGTACGCGCACACACACACAGGACCAGATTCACAGCTGATTGGACACATTTCAGTCTGATTTGGCTCTTTTGGCTCCAAAGTGTCAAATCGAAGCTCGTCTGCCACCCATTCACATCTGCACACAGTTAGACAATCATGTGTGCAGTTCAGATGCCCGATGTGACAAATGTGTGCAAGTTAGGAACGTGCAATGCGTATGTGTTTTTGTCACATCTCTGTGTGTCTGTACGAGTAGCTCGCCAGCAGTCTGTCTCCTCTCATCCAACATTTTGACGTGTCTGTTCCCAGATTCTTCTCTAACCGTCTCCAAAATCTGGCTTCAGGTGAAGCTTGTGCAGAGACACTGTGTTCACTTTGTGCATTTGAATCTTAAATGTAAAGAGTTTTGTCTGTGTTGTATTTTTGCTTTCAGTGGGTTTTGATTTTCCCAGTTTTATACTATATATATATATATATATATATATATATTAGAGCTGAAACGATTCCTCGAGTACTTCGAATAATTCGAGTACCAGAAATCCTCGAGTCAAATTCTCTGCCTCGAGGATTCGTTTAATTCATATTTAATTAATTCATGGCTTTGCAATCGCCCGGAGTCATGTTTCACCCGGACCGAAATAAGTGACGCACATGCCCACTGGACTGCGAGTAGCGAATGTAACTTAACTTTCTCTTAAGCCATGGCGGACAACGTAGACCCCGGTGTAGGGCGAAAAAGACAGAAAATGTCAAAGTTGTGGGACCATTTTTCACGTCGTAAGGTGGGAAACGTAGTCCAGTATAAATACTGTAAAATGGATTTAGCCTACCACAACACCACATCCTCCATGCTGCAGCACCTGTAAATGTCACGTCTGCAAGCGGACTTGGAGCCTCTACAAGATAATGAATGCATTTTAGCCTGTTTTTCTATATATTCTGCGGACTCTGCGACTTTTTCGTTTGTAGCACTCAGTTTCAGCTCACACCGTACGTTTGGTAGCAACACGTCGGACTTAAAATGTGCTAAAAAATAGCAGTTTTTACACAACACGTCGGATTTTTTATTGTGTTATTGATGTCTGTTGTCCCTCGGGGTTTCTGCAGGAGGACGCAGGTATTTATGAGTGGCGGAGGAAAACGAAAGAAAGTAAATAAATGTTTTGTGATCAGTATAATTTGACAAAACCACAGCAAACATGCTTTTGGCAATCCTCGTTAGTGTGAGAAAAAAAGTGTGGAAATTAAAACAGACGTGTGTTAATAGGGAAACAGGGGCGAGCTGTTTGCGCCGTGAGCGGTTCTGGTTCTGTTTGGGCCGCAGCCGCTCGCAGCGTTATCTCCTAGTTTTTGTCTGGCTTGCAGGCTAGCAGATTCTCGCACGAGGGGAAAATCGGCTCAGGTTGTTTACTTATTTTTTGCACAGGCATTTGTTTACTGTGAAGTAAAGTTGAAATGCTGAAGTTATGCAAACTAATTTTGAATAAAACTTGAAGAATAACTGGCAATTGCTTGCTCATTTTAAGAGGTCTTTCATAATTATAACATGCTATTTGATAT